TTCTTTGATCATCTTCTCTTTTCAAGGCTTTAGTATATATACTTGATTTCCTTTTCGTTGGGCCCTTTCGGCGGCGAATTATTAGATATAAGGTCTAAGTATCACGCTCCAATATGCTTTCCACGAAACAGGATGACATTGTCCCTTATTTTCAGTATCACAATAGATGATAGCCTCTCACTCGGAGGGGATCTTCTAGCCTCAAAAACTAGTGGCCTCAAGAATTTCTTTTTCATTAGCCCTCTTTCTTTAGCTGTCTTCAGAACTTGATGTACTCAGTTGGACAGGCGTTCAGGCTCTCTCATCTTCCGAGGGATTGGAGCTCCAGGTTGACTTTCCCAAAATGATTGCTAGAGCTCACTAGAGGAGCTATTTCTTTATACCCACTTTAGATTAGAAAATCTATTTTGAGTAGGGATATCAGGCTTTGGCTCTTATGCTGGTAAGTTTGAAGGATGGACTAGTACTAGTTGACGTTGAGCACATAGCTCCACATTTTAAAAATGTTAGCCAATATTTATTTGCTTGCTACTATAGCCTATGAATGACTAGCAAGATATGGAAAGAGAAACCAGTCCCTAGTGGAGTTGCCAGAATTTTGTTGGCTCCAAAAATTTGGCCTTAGCCTCCCCTGTTGCTTTTGAGGAGTTTTAACAAATTAAGTTCTAGAGTAAATTTTGGGAAGGCAGATTGGGATTTTAGATAAGACACTAGCTAGAGATTTCGCCCTCATTTTGCATGGACTTTATAATAAGAGTTCTTGTTTACTATAGGCATAAGACCCTATAATTAATTACCCCTCGCGATCACGAGAGAGAACTTTTGATTAAGTCTAGTTGTTGAATGAATATATCATATCAATATACATGTCGTATTTAACGTATAGTAACAGCATGGATTTTGGTTTGGATGTTTAGAAATTTGGGTTGAGATATTTGAGAAGTTTGGTATTTAAAATTAAAAATTTCACTATCTTGCACTTAAAGCAGAGGGTAGGGGGAATGATGATGAGCTTGATCAAGATCCCATAGTTTCGTCATCCCGGGTCTTCGTGGTCCCAATTGTACTTAGTTAAAGGAGATAGTCGACCCAACCTAAAAAAAAAAAGATCATTGTCAATAGCCATGGATTGTGTCGTCCAAGGGTACATTATGGACCTGGGGTGGATGTTTGTCTAAGGAGACAAATTTGAATCCACCTTAAATGAAAGAGGGCATTATGCCCTATCCATTATTTCCTATTTATTAGGGTTTGACGTCATCGGGGAGCATATAAGGCTGCTGACCATGATCATAATTTAATAGTGTCATTTCATGGAAAACCACCCAATTCAGAGGATCTCAGTCATAACTGTTTACCTGTGGTGCCACTTGATGACAAAATTATAGGTTTAGTGCCATTTGACAATAAAATTAACAATTAAAGAACACATGCTAAATCCTTACTGACAAGAGACAGTTTTAGAATGAATCGTAATGATATTCTCGACTATGCTTTACCTCTTTATGAGCTGGAGTAATTTTCATATTTGTCCACCTCGACAAACTTTGTAGAGGGTGGATGGGTGTTTGTAGATTTTAAGTAGATGATGGTTAGTTTCATTTTAAATATCTTGAATTTTGGATATTTTTGGAATTTTGGATTTTATTGACATTTGGGACATTTAAAAATATTTATATTTTATGAAAGTTTGAGGGTATTTGAAGATATATAATCCCCTCCGGTTGAGATTTTCTATCAACGCAGCCATTATCACGGAATTTATAAACATTTTATTTTATTGATTGAACTTTGTCAACTCTATCTAGTTGCTAACAGAGGATCGGGTTTAAATCCAATTTTATATATTTATCGTGTACGACAATCTCAGGAGTCACGGGTCGGGTATGGGTCGAACCCGAAATTGACCCTCGTTCAATTAGGTCGACCATACCCCGACCCGGGTAGGTAAACAGGTCAAAAGCTCGGACCCGAACCCAACCCGTCGGGTTGCCGGGTTGACCCGACCCTACACGGAACGCAGGCGGGCGAAACGCGGGTGCTCGGGCGCATGAGCTCAGACACGTAGGTGGGCTTGCGGGCACGCAGGCGGATTTGCGGTCGCGCAAGCGGGTGTGCGGTCGTGCAGGCGGACGCACTTACATGGGCAAGCAACGGGTGTGATAAGACTGGCTAGCAGCGGACATGGGCGCATGGATGCGGGCAAGCAGTGTACTCGGGCAAGTAGTGGGTGCGCAGGCGAGCAGCGGGCACACGGGCGAGCAGCGGGCAGACCCAGACATCGTGCGGCACGACTCGCGAGCGGTAGCGTCTGTGCGGGCAAGCCTTGGCGGCCGCAGGCAGGGCACGAGCAGCTGCGTGGGTAGCCGGGATAGGTGCGAGCAGCCTAAGTCAACACGGGCAACTCACTCTAAATGGGTTTTCGTGGTTGACCCGATAACCCATCAGGTCAACCCAAACCCAACCCATTTTTCAAGTGTCAAATCCGGGAACCTGAACCGACCTATTTTCAAACGGGCCGGGTCCACCTGAAATTTCTAGTCGGGTTTTTATGTCCTGTCAAATATTGACACCCCTACTTAATGTTATCCTAACCACACTAAGAAAAATATATACAGGGCCTACCTGCCTCGTCGCATGCACTACACTGCGTTCCCACGTACCATGCTAAAAAAGTGTGTATATGTGGTTGACTGACTCGTCACACACCTCAAGGATAGGATTTTGGATTCAAGAGCTACTTACTTGCCTCATCGCAGGTGTCACAATGGGTTTCCTCCTATCATGCTAAGAAAAAGAGTGTATAAGTGGTGACCAACACGTTATGCACATCGAAGATAGGATTTTGGATTTGAGAGCTACTTACATGCTTGTCGTAGCTGTTGCATCAGGTTTTCTCCTATTACTCCTAGAAAAGTGTAATATGAGATGGTGACCGTCATGACACACACATCGAGGTAAGAGAGGAATCCTCTATCTTCTTTTTTCTTTTAATTAATTATAATTATAATTTAATTATAATTAAAAATAGTTAATTAAAATGAAGATACTAATTATAAAACTTTAATTAATTAATACTAACAAGTATTATTATTAATTAATTAAATTTAAAATAATTATATAATAAAATTTAATTTTAGTTATAACGAATTATTTTATTATTAATTATTAAATTAAAAAATGATTAATTTATAATTAACATAACTAATTATAATTAATAATAATTCATTATAATTAAATTAATTAATTATAATGAAATATGATCATTATTAATTATTATTATTTAAAAATAATTAATTTGTATTAACAAAATTAATTATAATTAATAAATTTAAAAATAATTAGTTATAATTAAATTTAATTAATGATAAACTAATTATTTTATTATTAATTAATTATAATTAAAATTAGTTAATTTAAAATTAACTTAATAAATTATAATAATAATAATAATTAAAATTAAAAATAATGTATTATAATTAATTTAATTGCTTAAAATTCATTATGATCATTATTAAATAATTATAATTAAAATAATTAATTCATAATTAAATTGATTAAAATAATATAATTAATTACACGTACATTTAAT